GGGAGCGGGCCCAACCCTCCGCCGCCGCCACCGCCTCTCCCGGCTGGCTCGGAGACCCCCGAAAGTGGTGGCGGTGGAGGAGGAGGGGGTGGAGGGGGTGGTGGTGGAGGAGGAACGGGCCCCGGATCGGCTCCGGCTTCGTCCAAGGCGCCGGTCAAGAAGAACCCCAAGGTGGCCAACGTCAGCGTCCAGCTGGAGATGAAGGCCCTCTGGGATGAGTTCAACCAGCTGGGCACCGAGATGATCGTCACCAAGGCTGGCAGGTCAGAAAGCGCGCCCCCCTTTTGTTTTTTAATGCTTTGCCCCTTTCCTCTCCCCGCCTTGCTACCCCCGCCATCACCTTAAGCTTGGAGGGGCAGGGAAGGAGTCTGGAGCTCCCAGCACTTCTGGCATCGGGGCTCCTAAACCCCGCTGGGAAAATCCGAGAGCTCCAATGCGATGATCCTGATGATCATATGGCTAAGCTCTTTCTCTGTCTCCCCCCTTCCTGGACGCTTTTACCGAGCAGGTTTCGTCGGGAGTAAAATCCCGGGAATCGCAAGGTGCTAAATTGCGCCCCGAACTTGAGTCAAAAGTTTTGGGGGTTTGTTTGTTTGTTGTTTTCCCCGTTTTTATTTATTCCCCCTTCCGAAGTGGCGGGGAAAGAGAGACCAGGCAGATCTTTTCGATGCATTTCCAAATGCTTTCCAAGCAAGTTTTTTTTTAAAGCAAAAAAAGGTTATTTTAAGGCACGATTCTGGGGCACAGCTTTAAAAAAACGAAACAAATCAAATGCAGATCCCCGTTGATTTGAGCAGGGAAATCGGAAGAAATCCATGGCACCTCGGAGTACTTACCTGCTTTACTTTAAAACCCTTTCAAACGCAATGAGGCTTACTCCTGAGCAGAGGGACCCAATCCCTTGCGACCGCTTGCATGTGCGCCCTTTTTGCAGGCCCTAAGACCGTTCCTTGGTTATCTGACAGTTCCCAAAACATGCCTACTCGGAGGTAAATTCTATTGGGTTGGATGGAGGTATACTCGCAGGTAAGCGTGTATAGAATGGCAGCAGGCAGACTATAAAGAAAATAGGATCCAAGCGTACATATAGGATCCAAGCGCACATATTCACGTACATATAATATTATATGTTTTTGGTCTAGCGTCCGCTCCTTTCTTCATTCAAATTTTTATTAACTCAGGAGATTCACAAACTAGAACACAATGTCAAATCCTTACTATTTTCTCCGACACCCCTTCATTCAGGAATATTTATTTTTTAAGAGAGATGACGTGGCCAAACCGTGATCTTTTTAAAACCAGCTCGGGATGTTTTGACTTGGAACGTACTCATGGCCATAATAAGCTATTATTTCGTTATATTTATTTAGGTTTTGGGTATTATTATTTTTTTAAAAGCTCATTTTGGTTAATCACTCAATTTAACAATCTACAATATGCGTTAGGTTCATGGTCTAATACAAAGCGTCAAGGGGTTGATCGGTAGGTCTCTAAGAAGAGAATGTGTAGGAAGTAGGTGTGGATTAGACCTATTTATTTTTTAAAATTAAGACAGTGACAAATGATTAGTTCATTACCAGCCTTGAGGGGAGCGGGCGAGAGAAAGGAACAACATAAGTGTTTGTTTGCTTTTAAATTGTTCTGAGTCCTACCTCTGCTTCAATGAAGAATGCTCGTTTCGTTATTTTTCGTTACTGTTTTTTTTCTTTAAACTCCGGATCAAATCCTAATAGTGACTGTTGCATGAGCGTTACTCCCAAGTAAATGTGCCTAGGATCGTAGCCTGCTTTTCCCTCTAGGGACACTTGTTTGCGATATCAGCGCAACCTGTTTTCAAGCAGCAGCTTGCAAATTACTTTACCAAACGTAATTGAACTTGAGTTGACTCATTTGCTTTCGCTCTAAACTCAACGAGGTGTGTATTTCATCGCTGGTGGTTTAACTGCGTGCATTTGCACCTAAACTGTTACAGAATTTGGGGGTGTGTGTGGGGGGGGAGAGAGACTAAGGCCGATCCTTAAAATCTTTCACTTCGAAACAAAAGTATTCTGGCTTATTTTGTTTGTGGATTGCCCTGGCAGGACCTGCCTCTAATCAGCGCAAGACGTCCTGTATTTGAGGCATTACTAATATACATGCTTTTTTTTCAGTAGAGTCTTGAGATTCGCTTTAAATATGGATTTAAAGCTTATTTTACACACGCTACATTTTGAGTTCGGTTTGTTGCTGGCTAACGCCGTGACTCCATTAAAATGTGGATTCTTTTTCTGCACCATTGAGTTTTAGTTTTGCTTTTTTAAAAAAAGAATTCCTCCCACAATGTCGTGCAGAAATTTTTGGATTCCTATTATGAATGCCTCTTTAATAGGCTTCTTGTAAAACACGCTAAGAAGGAATGAACTTCAACTCCCTTCGGGGGGAACAGATAGGCTGGAAACATTTTATAGGCCTGTTCTGGAAGAAAATAATATATTAAAAACTTCACTGTTCCAGGTAATCTGCTTTCAGTCATTTATGTTTTTTTTAAAGGGAAGCCCTGTGTTTTGTCCCAGAGTATATTGGGGGGGGGGAGGCGGGGAAGCTCAGCATAGGCTATTTATGCCACTGTGAGAGGCATAAGACTTCTTTTGGAAAGCTCATGTTTAAATTCATTTTTTTAAAAAAACAGAGGAAGAAGAAGTAGAAAATCATGCCAATAGAGAGCCTTTATTGCTGTTTTTTTTTTTTTTAAGGGAGGGGGAATGGCAGGATTTTAGACAACATTTTTTCCATATCTTCACATTCATGTTTCTGTGAGAAAATAATGGGAAAAAATTACATTTCCAATCTTTTCTCTTTGTGAGAATGAAAGGGCAAATAATTATAGGAGGCCTTTAAAAAAATTATGCCACAGAATGTTTTTTTTTAAATGTTTTAGAGTACAGAATATAATCAAAGATAAGGATCCTTCCTTCAGTGAGGTGTGATTCAACCTTTCTGGAAGAAAGGCTAATGTTTGCTTTCCGATGGCTCTTAAGAGCAATAATAATAAACTGAAATGTAGAACGCTATCAAGCTGCTAATTAACTTATCGTAGCATCCACGTCCTCTGTTTCCATCAGGCACTTTAAAAAACAACAGCAAGCACGCACAATGTTCAGTTTACTATCCACATAAGCTGAAGCCTAGATAAACAAGAATTATTGTTAGAACTCTGATTATAAAACAGCCTCCTTTAAGTAATGAGGTGCATGCAAGTCGGGAGCCTTTAACTTCCACAGAAAGTTCTTTTAATGTCAACCCAAACTTTCATTCTGCGGAAGAATCTGAAAGCTGAACCTGGAGAGAGGAGACAGAACTGCAGGAATAGAAAGAGGCCAGGCTAAACCCAACAGGGCAAATTCCTGATGTCCTCAAAAGTTAGTTTTCCTGGACAAAGAAGCCTCAGCCCTATAGCTTTTTAAAAGGAAAAGATGTTCCCCGTTTTGGTTTCTAGAGGAAAGCCAGATGGGGAGAAAGAGGAAGAAGGGCTACCGAGGGCATATAATGGGAAAGTATCAGATCCTTTGGGGTAATCAGTTTGGAAGCTTGCTTGCTTGCTTGCTTGCTTGCTTGCTTGCTTGCTTGCTTGCTTGCTTGCTTGCTTTCCTGAATTACTTGGATCTGCATGCTTTCAGAATAAGAAATGCAGAAATCTATGTGCCTGAGTCCACCAACACTTCAGAATAAGAAATGCAGAAATCTATGTGTCTGAAACGAGTCCACCAACACATTTAGGCAGCTCTCCAAGAGGTTGAAACAGGAATTATTAGCTGTCTTCATTTTCAATATTGCCCCCACCCCAAGTCCTCCTTTTCTGTTTCCCCCTTCTCTCCAAAATATAGCAGGAAGGATATATCATGAAACACCTGCTGGCAGTCAATGGGCCCAATCCAAACCATTATCTGGGTTTAAACAACTTCCAGGGCTGCAGTCTTATGCACGGTGAAAACGGTGGCACTTACTTGGATGTAAGAAATGTCTAAGATATAACATATGCATAGGGGTTTGCTTTGAACTGCAGTGGCTTTTCCTCTTCTGCAGAGTCATGTTAAAGACTGCAATCCTTTGCAAGACTGGCTTCTAAATCAGCCGCATGGAAGTCAATAGATTTTTTTCCGGAGTGGTCAAATAATCACCCTGTAAAATTCTTTCAGGGAACTCAGACTTAACTTTTGCATCTCTCCTGTTTGGAAGACCCATTCCTTCTTTCTTTGGAAAACAAGGAAATTGGCTTAAAAATTCTATGATTAGACGAGAGGGGGGGGGATTTTCTTGCACGAGCAAAAGAAAAGTAGATTGATTTGACATGTGTTGCTGGTCGTATTTAGATTCCTGTTGGTAATAAATAATCAAGAAGCCTCGTGGCAAAAAATGGAAAGTTGTTTTACCTCTTTTCTACTAGACGTGTTGTTTTACTCTAAAGTAAGTTCAAATGCATTGCTACAGGCCCTTCTGCTGCCCAAAATAAGCACAATCCTTTATCTGAGTACAGGATTTTGCACTTTACAGAGCTAGGTAAACAATACATATTTGTTTTTAATATATATATTTCTAGTCCCTTTAGAACTAAATGAATAAAGTAGAGTTTCAGAGAGCAGGGTAGGGGTGTATGCAGTGACGGTGAAGCTTCAAACGGCCCATAAAGTACTTAGGGGAAACCCTGACCAGATTTAAACCTTCAAAAAAAGGAAGATAAAGATGTTTTCTCCTCTCAAATTCACAAAATTTTATGGCTTGCACTACTCCTCAGTTGGTTTCTCTTCTTCTTGTTGTTGTTGTTGTTGTTGTTGTTGTTGTTGTTGTTGTTGTTGTTGTTGTTGTTGTTGTTGTTGTTGTTGTTGTTGTTGTTATTTGATAGAGCCTTAGAATAGTTTGGCAGAGCCGAGGTTAAATTCCTGGAGCCTGGGGGATTGTTGCAGGAAGGGTCGTGGTGGAATCAAAATCCTTCACGCATTTATTCCAGTTTGCTTTCCTAACATGGCATCTTTTCCCCCCACGAGATTTCTTCAGTCTCCTGGGGAAATAATTGGGCGGCTTTGAGGTTTGTTGTTGCTGTCAGTTCTTGTTTCATGGTGTATTATTTTTTGTGTGAGTGGGGATCTGAAGATCATTTTTAAATATGATTTCTCCATGGTGTTCTGAATCCCGAGTAAAAGTTATTTTTGTGATTTGCTGTTGTTATAGTTTTAAAAGGCAAGGTCCGTTGGTTTTACTTGCTCCCCTGTCAATGCGTTTAAGGCAATAAAATAAAATAGCCCTGTTGTGCATAATTAAACATCCAAAATTCACACAAGATTGAGGGTGAATAACATGGAAACAAAACCCAACATCACATGTAAATAACGTCTTGCAAACGGAGATCAAATGGTGTTTTCATCCATTTCTGTTTTGGCTTTTAGTTCCCTCATCAGGTCACAAAGCAAGTGGTTATACATTTTTAAAGGAAATTCAATAAAGTTTTAAACTGCCATCCAGTTTTTGGTTTCCTGGATCTTCTGAAGTAATTTAGCAATTTTTAAAAAGTTAGTTTCTGTGTTCTGGAGGTTTGCTATAAGACTCCAGAAAAGGGGGGGAGGTGAAGTATCTGAATTTTTAACTCGTTTCTTTTCCTTGATGATCCCACAAAGAATTAAGAGCAGAGCAAAAATGTAAAAACTTGGCAGACAATAGGAAGGGTATTATTAGCAACTGTCATCATCTCAACACGGAATATGAATCTTATGTCATCCTCTTCTGTGCATATATCAACTTTTGTTATGGTCACACTGCTTTAAAAATGTTGAAGGGCTACAAAACGTTTTGGCTGAAAAACCTAAACCTTAAAATGAGCAGAACAAACCAATCCAGTTACTAAACAGTCTTCTAGTCCCTAGTGGGGACCTCATACTCCCTCCTTTAAGGACTGTATTTATTTTAAAGATTCAGCATGTCCCACTTCAGGTCTTGTTTTAAGCTGGAATATTCCCCCCCCATCTAAGTTAATTTGTTTGTTTTAAAGCTTCCTTACATTGACACACAAAGGAGAGTGAGGTTAATAGGGATCAAAGCCTTTTAAACGTCACCCTTGACCAGCTAAGGCAGGCCTTAAAAATCAATGATGAGAGTGTGTTCCTTTAATCATTTGGGAATATTTAATATACAGTATATATTAAAAAGTGGACACATAATAACAAAGCTGGGTTTGTTTGTTTGTTTGAGATTTCTTTTTGCCTTGAAAATTTGTATGTGTCCAGACTGTCTAAAACAAGATTTCGAGCTGTACACACAAAAGAGGGGCGATGGTAAATGTGCCCGGAGGAATGCTAGTCCCCATGAAACACAAGGAACAGAAACAACAGCTGTCTGAGTGCGCAACCCACATTTCTCTGTGTCTTCCTGCTCTCCATAGCCTGGGGCTTTTATTTCGGCTTCACGGTGAATGCAAGAACTCTCGAAGGGATAGAGCCATGCTTAGAGGCTGCTGCAATAGGAACAAGAATGGGTCTTGTGCGTGGGCCTTTAAAAACTAGGCGATTTGTTGTGGTCTGCATTTCCTAGGCGATTTGTTGTGGTCTGCATTTCTTTCTCTGCCGCCAAAGGCCCACTTCTTCTCTTAAGGCATGGATCCTAGCCCAGAGATATCTGTTTAGTCTTCAAAGCTAAGAGGGGGAAGCCTGTGTGAGCCTGGCAAGATGAGGGTCCAGCCCTTCGCCAGGCTGGGTGGGGGTAAACCCAGAGGAATCCAGCAGCAACATCTGGTGGGGCACAGATAACTCAAGAAGTCTTGTTTTGTTTTTGGGAAGAGAAACTGAGTCCGCCTATCAGAGTCTCCTATCTCTTTAGTTAATCAAATCCACACCCTCATTTCCACCAAGGCAGTGTAGCTTGCAGGAGGTGGGGGCTGGGTGTCTTTAGGAGGAAAATCTCCCCAGAAAGCAATGATGAAGTGCAGAGACTAGTAGCAAAGCTTTTCTCTTTCAGCAGTTTCCCCAAAGTTATTGTGGCATAGAGTTCGGTGTATTATAGTTTCCAAACACCCAGTTTAAAAAAAAAAAAAGGGAACAGCCTTATTTTATTTGTCAAGGTTTTTAAATTAAAATTCCCTACTTTTTTTAAAAAAATCTGTTATGTTCCCCTACACATCTTGGCCTATCCATGGTTTACTTAGGCGTAAATCCCCATGAATTGCAGGCTGCCTCTTTTTTTAAGATTTTTTTTTAGAAGGCAAAAGGGGGAGCTTTTTGGATAGAAATCTAAAAAAAATGTTCTTGTGTAGCTCATAGATTTTTGCAACCCAGTTCTGCTCAATTTGTTTTAAGAGGATATATTTGGAAGTAAGCGTGCTGAGCACTGCAGATGTCCATCTTCTCCTCTGCCTGACAACAGCTCCTGATCTGAAACTATTTGTCTGGAAGAAGGTTGCTATGGGTTTCAATAGAGAACAAATTTCTGCATTCAGAAAAAGTATGCAGAATTTTACCTATCGCCAATAACAGAATCAGGGCCTTGTATGTGCAGAAGATGTTCTGCACTGGGACTATAGGTAGCTCCTGACAGGGACAAGGGGGTACCCCTCCTAAATTTGTGTCCCATGCACCACACCCACCTATCCCATCCTGATCTGAAAATCAACCTGGAAGGAATAAATTCTGCTCCTAGCCAGCAGAGTATGATGCTTATAAAATGATTAGTCAACCTTAAATTGGACCAGTGAGAACTGAGGTCCTTTATGGTTGTTGATTTTGCAGATATGCTTTACTTGGTGTGCAGGTGAGAATTTTCCTTCAGTCTGCACGTGATAATTTATTCCACTTTGGCTACTCCCTGGCGTGTCTCCATTGCCCTTTTTATCTGCCTATATTAAGCCTTGCGACCCTCTGAAAGAAAATCTCATTAGTCAAGGAAGTTTGGTGTCTGGGTCCTCAAAGCTGCTCTTCTGTGGGACCCCAGTCTACACTGTTGAAAGGAAAGATGGTGCTTTTACCAGGGCCACCTAAAAAAAACAACAACCCCAAAGTAACAGTAAGAGCCTGAAGGCCAATGTGGTGTAGTGGACGGAGTGTTGAATTGCAGCTCAAGATAGCTGGTTCGAGGAGCTAAAGACTGGGGGGAGATGAATGTTGGTGTGTGGCTGGACTCCTGAACAGGTGCTGCAGTTTGTTGCAAGGTGCATTTATCTAGATATGGAAGGTCTTCTCCATTTGCTTCCCATTCGCTACTCAAAACACAGAGGTGAGCAATGCCCACTTAAAGGAATGAGTTGCAAATTTGTGAAAAATATGCAAGATTCTGAGTTCTCTGGACAAAAAGCAAATCACTTTGGGGAAGAGGAGGAAAGCAGTGGAGTCCAAACATTTGGATAGGTGTTCCAGTTCTTGCAGTTACTCTATCCACCCACATTAAAACAATCAATCAATCAATCAATCAATCAATCAATCAATCAATCAATCAATCAATCAATCAATCAATCAATCAATCAATCAAACAAACAAACAAACAAACAAACAAACAAACAAACAAACAAACAAACAAACAAACAACAACAACAACAACAACAACAACAACAACAACAACAACAACAACAACAACAACAACAACAACAACAACAACAACAACAACAACAACACCAACAACTGGCCTGTTGAAGTGTTCTGGAGAACTTGAAAGCTTGTCTAGCTGATGAAATCAACACCGATTCTAATAAGGATATTTCCATTTCTGGAGTTTTCTCCCCCACATCCATGGGATCAATATGACATTGTTTTGGTGGTCAGGGAAGTGGGGAGGTGTTGTCCTCAATTCTTTAAATCCTTAATGGGTAAAGCACGAGAGACAAAGGCTAAAGTCTTTTCATTTTAAGATCCCTGGATTCCTACTTTTGCCAAGTCTGTCCCCTACTCTTGATAAGTTCCCATCCACTCCTAGACCAACCAGTGACAGGATGGCAGCTCAAACCTAAGGCAGATATGGATTCAAGCCCCTTCTTTGCCTTCATAAACCATTTATTTATCGGAGAAGGAATGGACTTGAATCAAAAGACGGCTGGGATAATTCAATCGCCTGGCAGGGGCTTAAAAGTGCCAATATGAAATAAATCTGTTGGTCCCTTTGAGATTTCCAACCAAATATCTTGGTTTATGAGGTTGTGAACCCACTTAAACACATGCAGGACACAGAGAGCTGAGGCTTTATACTGCTGTGTTTGTCTATGGCTTCATGCTTTCCATCCCACCCAGTAGCATCTTTCTAGGGCCTCAGGCAGAGAGAGAGATCTTTCCCATCTTTGAGAGAGAGAGAGAGAGAGAGAGAGATCTTTCCCATCTTGCTCTGAACTGGGAAATGGGAAGGACTGATCCTGAACCTTCTGCATGTCAAGCACCCGTTCTGTCATTAAACAAAGATCCTCCCAGTACTTCCATTCAGTGGGTTGGGGAGATTCTCAATAGGATCGAGTAACGCCTTTATGAATCTGCTCCTCTGTTTTGCTTCTCCCCCCCCCTTCTCACCCCACAGCAACCCACCTGCCTGTCTTGCAAACCCAGAATCAGAAAAGAGATGTACCAATTTCTCACTCACCTTGTGTCTTCTGATTCTCCCCCCCTTTTTTTCCACCCCTGATTCCAGGAGGATGTTCCCCACGTTTCAGGTGAAAATTTTTGGAATGGATCCTATGGCTGATTATATGCTGTTGATGGACTTTGTACCGGTGGACGACGAGAGATACCGGTAAGTAACCCATCTTCTGTTTCCTCTCCTGCCCACTTCCTGTGTCGAGAAACCAAACAGCTCCTTAAGTCTGCCCTGTTGCAGAGGGCATTCCTAAGACTGTGATTCTACCCTACCTTATCCTGGAGAAAATCCGTTGAAGGGGGGGGAGAGTATCTTCCCTTTATTAAAAACAGGGCTGTCATTTCTTTTTGCAAAGATTGCAGCCTTTAAGGGGCCTTCTTATCCTTTCGGTTGGTGTCTTCTTTTAATTCAGTGTGTTGCCTTTCTCCTAGGATTGGGCCGGGAGGTGGTTTGCCATATAATTTTAGAAAAATAGCACTGAAATATAATAAATTGCAACTATGAAATATAAATACTGATGTACCTATGGACATATCGATACTGGTGTTTCCCCTTCAAACTAAGATTCAAGGTTCAGTTAAACTACTTTAAAGAAAAAGGATAAAGGTGTGGATGATTCCCAGTCATGCCAGTGGCTGCTACTCATTCTATCAGGGGCTGTGTATTTATTACTTCTAGAGTCTGAGAGATTGTGCATTTCACTATTCCAGGAGAGGAATAATGTTTTCATTTCAGCTACAAGGGCTTTTGATCTTAGCCAGCATGGGGCTTTCCATCTTCTTAGGAGATATGTTCAGAATAGCAACATTCAGATTATGACATCAGTTCTTAAAAGGTCCATTTCAAGCCAGTGAACTTTTCTATAATTTGGACTTCCATTTTGCATGATTTCCTCTTTTATTCACCCATTACCACCATGCATCCCAACCTCTCTCCCTCCCAATCACATGTTTGAATGATCACCCCCTTCCCTGATGAAAAGGCACAGGGAAAAAAATAATTGAAGAAGAATCTGGATCCATTTTGCAACGTGTTCGTAGGTAGATTTACTCAGAAGTAAGCTCCGTTTGAACTCAGTGAGATTTACCGCCCTTTCCAGCATCTAACTTAGCTGCCTAGTCCTAGCTATGTTTATTCATGCTGGGTTCAGCTGGTTTACACTTTGATGATGATGATGGTGGTGATTTTACCCTTTCATCTCAGAATGGCTTTACAAAGAGCAGTAAAACAGCTCCTGCCAACAGGGCTCAAAGTGGAAAGACTAGCCAATAGAGCAAAATAGACTTGAAAGGGGGGGGGAGCAATTAATATGCTAATTCTCAGTTATAAGACTCTTGAGAACCAGATGAAATAAAAATGGTGTAGAGAGAGGGGGGAGCCTAAAACTCCTAGTTTCCCAGCTGAACCAAGAGAATAAATTGTTCCTGATTTCTTTTGCTTATTCTCCAGTTGGGCAAAAAGAAAAGGGGGGGGGGGGAAGCCGTACAAAAACTTGTTCAAAACCCTCAGGCAGAGTGGGTAATTATTAATAAAACAATAATTGTGTGTCATCAAGTTAATTCTGACTTATAGTGACCCTTTCCAGGGTTTTCTAGGTAGAGAGCACACAGAAACCCCCTTCTTTTTTGATCAAGTTAATTCTGACTTATAGTGACCCTCTCCAGGTTTTTTAGGTAGAGAGCACACAGAAACACCCTTCTTTTTTTGGGGGGTGTCCCTGGGACTCTGCAGCTTGCCGAAGGTTACACAGGCTGGCTCTACTTATAGGAAGCACAGTGGGGAATGGAACTGCGACAAGCCAGATAATTAATTACCTTTATTAGGCCACTAAAATGTCAAGGGGGAAAGGGGGGGGGAAGGCTAAATTTGGGTTCTTGTGGGGCTATTCTTCAAGCTGGCAACTGCAGAGCTTGGGGTGAGGGTGGGGGAGAAAGCGGAAAAGCCCCATCGCTGTCCTTCTGGTGAGATCATAAGGCCAAGGTCAGGCAGTTCCAAAGGGAGGTTCCCAAACAGGAGGCTGAAGTTTTGTAGAAGGAGCTCAAAGTCTCAGATTTCACCTGCAGGGGATATAGATTGCTCTACCTCCTTATGCAAAAGGCTTGCCAGTCACTCAGCATCCGTCCCATCCTCTTATATCAACAGATTGCTACTGTTTGGCTGGAAACAGAGGTACTCAAGAATATGGCAATCCTTGTGTGAGAAAAGATGGAGGTTAAATTGAGTTGACACCCTAAGGCAAAGATACAGTTGTCTGGAGTCAAATTAAGAATATTCCCTCCTGGTTGAAAGAAGAGGTCATTCTTTTTTTTTTTAAAGATGGAGGTTAAATTGAGTTGACACCCCAAGGCAAAGATGCAGTTGTCTTCAGCCAAATTAAGAATATTCCCTCCTGGTTGGAAGAAGAGGTCATTCTTAATGGGGTGGTACGAAAATTCACAAGACAATTAAGAACAAATTCTACAATGGGGTGGTACAGCCCTTTCTTAAGGGAGGGTGGATTGCCCAGACTGCAAGAGACAATAATGCTAGGAAAAGTTGAAGGCAGCGGGAAATGAGAAAGTTCAAATGCAAGATGGATTGACTCCATAAAGAATGCCACAGCCTTTTCAAGAGCTGAGCAGGGCTGTTGAAGAGGGGACATTTTGGGTGTTATTTGTTCATAGATTCACTTCACAGCAATAATGCTAGGAAAAGTTGAAGGCAGCGGGAAATGAGAAAGTTCAAATGCAAGATGGATTGAATCCATAAAGAATGCCACAGCCTTTTCACGAGCTGAGCAGGGCTGTTGAAGAGGGGACATTTTGGGTGTTATTTGTTCATAGATTCACTTCACAGCACCTAACAATAACAACAGATTGCCTTTCTCTAGTTGTAGGTCATGATGGAATGGCTGTAGCACTGTGGCAATTGACAGAGGATAGAACAGGCTTTCCACCAGGGCTGACGGAATAGGCTCCCTTGTATCTTAGGCAGCCTGATAGAATGGCTGCTGATAGGTGGATTTCATTCAGTCGGATTTACCGCAATGAGGCAGCACCAGGAGCCAGGTGGCAGGAGTTCGATCCCCGCTCTGTGCCTTGTAGGAGAAGAGCTTTCAGGCAATCCATGGGGGTCTCAACAACCTCAGAAGAAGGGAACTTTAAAAACATCGGAGTGCTCTCTAGACCTAGAAAACACCTTGGAAAGGGTCGACCTAAATCCCTATCAACTTGACTGCCCTTAATTATTGAAATGTTACCTTAATGCCCCAAGAGAATTATGTCTTATTAGGGAAGTATTTGCAGTGCAAACCAGCCGTTTAAATATCCATGTTTGATCCTCTGATTCATAGGCAGACCAGACTGTCCATCTAGAAAGACGAGCACCGACTAAATAAGAAAAGGAAGGAGGGGGAAAGCAGAAAAAAAAATGTATCTCAGACTTTCCTCGCAGGGCAGAAGCCAGTTCCAAAGCTGCTGTTCTAAAGCACATGAGTTTCAGGCTGGATAGTGATTAGAAGCAGATTTTATTGCCTCTCTTAATTTTTGTTTTCGCTCCCAGGCCTCGGTAATTTGTCAGTGATTATCTCCAATTTTGTACTCAGTGCAAGAATCTGCCTCAAAGTCGTCTCCTAAACAGGTTCGGCAAAAGTCCATTTTCTCAATCTCCCCATGAATTTCTGAAGTTCCTGTTTTCTAACAGCTGAAGAGTCCAAAATTAGCACTGAGTAGCATGGGGATTGGTTCTGGGTTGAAGGCAAACCACCCAATCTTTAATGGACCAGTTTGTGTTGTATTCTAACACTATTTTGTTCATGTTTACCTTGAAGGAAGTTGAGGACCGAGCTTCACATTGCAATCTTCCAAATATTCATTCAAAACGAAGTCTTTCTGCACTCAGGGAGACCTAACTACCTGGTACATGGATACCCAACCTATCAGGACAATGAAACAAAAAAGTGTGAAAGTGCAGAACCTTTTGGAGTGGAGATGTGTCTCATCTAGAATGCACCTCTATTATTTATTGAGTTAATTTCTATACTGCCCCTCTGACCAATGGTCACTTCGAGTGGCTCACAGCAATAAGTGACGTAAAAAGAAACATAAGCTAATCTGTGCCATAAAACTAAACTTATCAGAGAACTAAACAGTGATGGCATAGCAAGGAATACACAACAACTTCAACTATGGTTGATATAGAAATATTACAGAGTTAAATTCTGGTCTTTTTCCCTGGAATAAAAATGGGGCTAAAATATTGAAGTGGGGGAGAGGCAAAAAAAAGGTCTCCTTCTTAGGCTTCATTTTTCTGACACCCTCCCCTATGTGCTGGACTACACTACCCACTTATTGATGGGTGGTGTAGTCCCACCTGGATAATGTCAGTTTGGGGAACGTACGGCACATCTGTTCACAAACCAATGGACTGGTCTCTTTCTCTGGCAATTGCTGGAGGGAAAAACATCCCAGTAAAATGGAAACAAGGGGCAAAGTTGGCTGGATGTTCTGCAAAGTTCTGCATCTCGCGGGATCTAACCAGAAGCCAGTTATTTGTCTCTTTTTTTGGACAGAAGAAAGTTCTGCTTCGTCCAGGGCGAGGGGGAGTCCTGTCAGTCTGTGACAGACTGCAAACCCAGCAACCCCAGGACTTTGTGGCACCTTAAAGACTAACATTTGGCAGAAGATCTCCTTAACTGCGCCCTCCCTCTTAGGTGCCCGGAGCTGGCCCAGATGTTTATACAAGCTTGTCTGGGAGGGATATGAGAAGAACCGAAATGCAAAGGAGATAAACATGAGTGATTATAGAAGAGTGGTCTTTAACAAACCGTCATTGAGAGGTGGCTGGGCATCCTACCGCAGTTAAGCACATTCAGACAGCTAAATTCTTGAAAAACTTTTGTCCTGTACAAGTTAGGAGCGATATTGTTGTTGTTTAGTCATGTCCAACTCTTCGTGACCCCATGGACCAGAGCACGCCAAGCCCTCCTGTCTTCCACTGCCTCCCAGAGTTGAGTCAAATTCGTGTTGGTAGCTTTGATGACCCTGTCCAGCCATCTCGTCCTCTGTCATCCCCTTCTCCTCTTGCCTTCACACTTTCCCAACATCAGGGTCTTTTCCAGGGAGTTTTCTCATGAGACGGCCAAAGTATTGGAGCCTCAGCTTCAGGATCTGTCCTTC